GAACATGTTTGTTTGTGATATCAGTGAGAGGACGTGTGTTTGTGATGTCAGTAAGAGGACATATATGTGATGTCAGTGAGAAGACACATATTTGATGTCAATAAGAGGACATGTATGTGATGTCAGTGAGAGAAAATGTGTGTTTGTGATGTTAATGAGAGGACATGTGTGTTTGTGCTGTCAGAGCCATGGCATTTATGTTTGATGTCAGGAAGAGTATACATGTGGGTAATGTCATTGAGAGGACATATGAAACTAACCAATGCACGGTGAGCGGTCACTGTCTGGACGGTAGTCAAACAGGAACAAATTCCAAAAACCCTATTCAACTGTATAACAGTTATATTAGTACACATAATTGTTACCACATAAGTGCAGTACAATTTTGGTTAGTTAACTCGTTCGTATGTTCCCACCTAGAAGCCCAGTGAATGCAAGATGCACCAGTTTTAGTCTATGTTAATTACCCTTGGTCCTCTGATACTAAACCCCCTTTGACTGAAATATGTAAGGGATAGAGATCTTTGTTAGGTTTTAGCAGTATCACCTTCTGGGTTTTAGCAGTAGCGCATTTTCTTCTTCTTATCTTTTGTTGCTTTAAACTCTGGTGGAAGGTTTTAGTTGTTTGGCCCCTTCTAGACTTTGATCTTGTTTCGGAACTTGAGTCGTGCTTGCATATCTCTTTTACAGATCAGGCTTATTTGTATGCAGACTGTTGGTTCCTCACCTCTCAGACAGAGGCACTCCTACTTTGATGGAAACATCCCTAATTACCTAATTAGTTGCTGTTTACTACATGCCTGTTTGGAGGACAGCGAGTCTACTCTCTCATTCCATCTCCTCCCCCTCCCCGCAGTGAGGCCCAGGAACCCACATGCAAAGGATTCAAATTTACTGTTTTATAGAAATATTTTATGGCAATCTCCGAAATAAACGTTGGCAATACTTTTGTTTAATTTTCAGCAAATCAATTCATCAGAAATTGATTGATCTCTACATGGAGGAGACTGCGAAGGAGTCTGAGAATAATGTAAGTCTCATTGTTTGTTGGCTTAATTTTGTAATATTGTGTTCAGTTCTGAAAACTTGGATGCTTCTGTTTAATTTTGTGTTATTGCGTTTGTGATGATTGTATTTACACACACACACTTGGCTTCTGGTCCAGTGTGGTGGAAAGGCAGACCAACAATTTTAGTTTCAGCAAATTATTTGCTTCTAGCTACAGTTAGCTGTTGCATTCCCCCCATATTTTGACTGAAAGTATATGTTTCTGTTGCCCAGCTACTCAGTTCAGTGTATTGGTTGACACTGATCTGCAGATTTAGTTTGGAATGCTTTTCAGCTGTCCCACGTGTGGTTTATATTGTGAACTACAGATTAGGAAAATTGCGAGTTCCTGTTGCCACAGAACTGGTGGTGCCTTATGCGATAATGTGTGTGTAACTACCCATCTGTTGTAAACTACCTATCTGTTGTAAACTACCCATCTGTTGTGAACTACCCATCTGTTGTAAACTAATCATCTGTTGTAAACTACCCATCTGTTGTAAACTACCCATCTGTTGTAAACTACCCATCTGTTGTAAACTACCTATCTGCTGTAAACTACCCATCTGTTGTAAACTACCCATCTGTTGTAAACTACCCATCTGTTGTAAACTACCCATCTATGTAAACTACCCATCTGTTATAAACTACCCATCTGTTGTAAACTACCCATCTGTTGTAAACTACCCATCTGTTGTAAACTACCCATCTATGTAAACTACCCATCTGTTATAAACTACCCATCTGTTGTAAACTACCCATCTGTTGTAAACTACCCATCTGTTGTAAACTACCCATCTGTTGTAAACTACCCATCTGTTGTAAACTACCTATCTGCTGTAAACTACCCATCTGTTGTAAACTACCCATCTGTTGTAAACTACCCATCTGTTGTAAACTACCCATCTGTTGTAAACTACCCATCTGTTGTGGATAAACTGCAATTCTAGTAATGATCTTTTGTGCTGGCACTTTTGATGGCTGTCTTATACATTGAATGCATGTGTTTGCTGTTAACTTTGCTGAGACTACAGTCTGTTTCATTTTTTCATAGGAACAGCTGTGGACATTCTGTGTGGTGTTTGCCGCAACAGGAATGGAGCAACTTTGGGCTAACCCACACGTTGAGAAGTGCAGTTAATTGTGAATTATAAAATGGCTTAATCTGTGTTATTAAAATATATTATTATGTAATATAAAATGACTGATTAAGTAATAATAAAAGAATCTTATGCTTTTTTTTCCCCACAGGATCTAGTCTATGCCAGCAACTTGCTGGCAAAACTGGCGAAGAGGGAACGTTTGAACTGTATGGTACTTAGTTTGTATCCTGGCAATGAAGGCTACTCCATTATGTTGAGGTCCCGCAGTGGAGTTGAGTCTGAAACCATGAAATTGCCATACGAGGTATGTTTTCTCAATAATATTGCTGTTCACACAAGCTTTCTTTTGTATCATTCATAAATATTCCCAGAGTGGGTTTCAGGGCCCCACTGGGGGGTGGAGGGGGATAGACCCACTGCCCCTCAAACAATCATATCGCACAAGTTGACTTATTAGAGGTGTTTCCTTCGAAGTCAGAGTGCATCTGCCTGAAAGGCAAGAAACCAGCAATTTGCAAATAGATAAGCCAGATTTGCAGACAAAACTCAAGTTCTGAAACAAGACTAAATAAAGTCTGGAAATGGACGAACTGCCAGAACTTTCCATTAGATTTTACAGCCATGAAGACAAAGCAGAAGAAGAAAAAGAAGATTCATAAATATGAGAAAATCTGGTCTATTGAATCACAGGGAAATATATGCCTGTGTGCTTGGCATATAGATGCTTATCTGCAGTTGTCTTTATAGGCAGGCAGAGCACTATAACCTGGGTGCTCATGCACCGTGGACCCCACCCTCCCCACTACCTAGCCACAAACAATTTTTAGTGGTGGGTGGAGCCCTCTTCTCCCCCCTAGAAATTTTGCAGCCATGTATAGAGGCTTCCTGTCTGAGACTGGTTACTGCAGCATACATTAGACATATGGGCATGGCATATGTTAAACAGGCTTTGGAAATTAAACAGTGCTCTCAGTGCATGTAGGATCTCAGACAAACAATACACATCACATCAGACTCCGTGAACATGCTGCAGAAAGTCTAACAGGCAGTCTCTTCTCTAAATGGGATGAGTGTCCTCTTTTGCAACCATGTAAAGAAGCTCCCTTTTTAAGTATTTGTTTTAGCATTTCATATTATTTCCAATATATTATTCTCTTTATATGCTATTCAGTACATAATACAAGGTATTAATAATTGTAATTATTACAAGGGGAAGTCAATAAGTCAGTCACAAATGGTTGGTTGTTTAAAAACAAAAAACAAGCTAAAGACTGAAAATTGTTTATTTTTACACATATATCGTCCCTATTTTTTTCAAAATAATTTCCACCAACATTGATGCACTTGTCCCATCGTTTTATCTCTCCTCCCAAACCTGCTGCATAGAACAACGTGCTCTGTTTTCTAAACCACATTTTCACTTCACATTCAACTTCTGCTTTATTCGTAAAATGTCTCCCGCCAATTCATACATTATGTTGTATGCTGAACCATGTGAGCACCTTAATGCAGCTGCTACAGAGTCAACCATTACTCACCTTTCACATCTAATCATCTCCACCATCTCCAGATGTGTTTGTTGCTATCTCAATAGGATGACCAGATTGACTTCATCGACAATTTTAGGGGGTCCTTAAGACACTTTCTTTACCCAGCTATGCACTGGTTTACGTGATAAACATTTGTCAGCATAAACAGGAAGCATTATCTTATGAATGTCCTTTGCATGCAGCCCTTTTGCCCCCCCCCCCCCCCCCCCCCCAAAAAAAAAAAAAACAACAACAACACACAACAGCATGTTGTTCCTTCAGGGTACACTTCTTAAGTAAAGTAACCATTGTGTTTCTGTGTTGTAAATGCACATGCAACACCTAGCATCACCTAATGAACGGAGACATAAAGTTTAATGCTGCTGTCACCTAATAACACCTTTAGAGACCACCAACCACATTTTCCAGGCTTTCCATCACAATTTGTGACTTATTGACTTCCCTTCGTACCTTTGCATAGTTAAACAAGGCTTAAGCCATTTGAGGTCCCCTAGAAAATTTATAAGGGAATTTAGCATTTTTTGTCCCCCTTACTCATCCTCTGTGTTCTTGCTCCTCCTTTATCCTACCTTTTTTTTTCTTGCTCTTCCACCTTCTTCTTACTTCTCCTTTTTTCTTCTTACTCCTTCCCCTTCTTACTCCTTCTTTTTCTTACCTTGTTTTTTTTTCCTGCGTACTCTACCTCTTCTCACCTCTCCTCCTTTTTTTGTTTTTATTTTTGTTCTTCTTAGTCTTCCTTGTTCTTACCCTTTCTTGTTTTTTCTTCTTACACCTCCTTCCTCTTACTTTTCCTTTTTTTTTCTTACTTCTCTTTATTCTTACTGCTCATTCATCTTACCCTTCCTTGTTCTGCTTATTCCTCTCCTTCTTACGCCCACTTTTTCTTTAGGAGCCTGAAACAGACATTCATGATTATGTCTTTCAATTCCTTTCTGTTATCTGATGTTGTGACGTAGACAAATGTCCATTATTATTAACAAGTAAATGGGCCCTTTCCACATCTTCAGGCAGATTTGGCATGTAGGGCTAGACACATATTTTGTAGACCAATCAGCACTTGGTGGATGATGTAGTCAGCATTATACCGGCTGCCTCTACTTCCCAGGACTCCACCTAGTACCCATTCAAGGCTGGGTTGACCTGAGAGCCAATATCTTTTTTTTTAATGTCCCGTTCCATGAGGACCTCAACCCACGACCTGCGGATCCACAGGTGAATGTTCAGCGGCTACAGCTGCTCCCATTATTAACAAGTATTTTGTAAAATTCACTAATGTCTGAAATGTTGCTGTAAATTTCAGGAATCGGAGATTCTGGAGTACATTAATGCAGCACAAGTAAGCCAATTTATGTTTTATTTTGCCCTTCATTCTTCAGTGGAGCATAGGCTGTCAACTTATGTCTGGTCATCCTGTCCGGCTAACCCCATTTCCTCCACAGCTTCTTTACAACATTTTCTAAGTATTTTCTTCATATGTGGGAGCCACCGTGGTGTAGTGGCTTGATGCTCGCCTGCAGATCAGAAGGTCATGGGTTCGGGTCTTGATGGAAACAGGTTTTCTTAAAAAATGACCTTGGTTCGGAGATGGACCCACCCTTGAGTGGATACCAGGTGCAGTCCTGGGAAGTCAAAGAGGGTACAAGATGTTGACCACATCACCCGCCAAGGGTTGATTAATCTGTAAAATATAGGTCTAGCCCTATATGCCCAATAAACCCAAAGGCATGGAAAAGAGTCCTTTACTTTACTTCATCATATGTTCTTTGATCTGTCTTTTTTCATGTGACCCTAAAGGTTCCAGTGCGTTTCCATTCTGGTTCTGCTATTCTCAGGTTTTCAGAGTCTTTTTCTATCCAACGTCAGTCTTTTTTTTATCACTTTTTTTCATTGGAATATGCTTAGTTATCTCCCATAGATCTTCATTAGTGATTATGTCCTACTTTTTCCTTTCTGTTCTGCACAGGCACCAACCAGTTAGTGAAAAGTTTTTTTATTTATTATTAATTACTTTAGCGATTATCCGTGCTTCGACTGCATAGTACAATACTGATTTGACATCAGAGTTAAATATTCTCAAGTGTCTTGCTTGTTTTAATTTCCTGTGACTTTTACTTACTTTTTGTTGCAATAGAAACTCATTTTGCCTTTTGTATTTAAAAAAAAAAACGGTCTTTTATAATTTTATCTAACAGAATAGTGAAATAATAATTTACATAAATTGGAAGGGACCATTTTCATGTTTAGGTGCATCTGGCATATAGTGCTATAGACCAGTCAGCGGTTGAAGGGTGATGTGTGTGGTCCACATCACGCCAGCCACCTTTACTTCCTAGGACTTCCTCCTCGACTTATGACTTTAGGACCATTCTGACTAACAGGTCGTAAGTCGAATTTATATTTTTCTTGCACTGTTTTCATTCAAATGGGTTATACAAATTGTATATAAAAACACAAAAATTAATTCTATGTACATATAATTATTGTACGTAATGTGAAAAATTCATAATATGTGTTCCACCGCATCAGTTCATGGAATTTTTTTGATGCCACCAGTGTAGTTATCTTTGTTTATTTACAATTTTTATTTATTTTGTGGGCATTAGTCGGGATGGTTGTAAGTTGCAAAGGTTGTAAGTTGCAAAGGTTGTAAGTCGGAAAACGGTGAACATTAAATGTGATCAATTTAAGAAAGAGGAAGTAATAAGAGAAATGTCTGGACAGCCGCTGGTATCAACAGTTATAAGATAACGAAGTTTGAGGTATACTGGAAACCCTAAGACAGACGTTGATGAGAGAGGCCGAAGATGCAGGACTGGATTCCATCCATGCCTTTGAAATAATTTCACAGGATCGAACATGATGTCAGAATAAACTAAAAGCCCTCTGTGATGATTAACATCACAACAAGATACTACATGTGAGTTCCACATTTTTGGGGGAACTGCGGCTGACTTCCCCTCCACCTTTTTCCTACAAGCTGTCGAACAAGATAACTATATAAGGATCTCTCCGTTGAAGTCGAAGTGCATCTGCCTGAAAGGTGAACAACCAACAGTCTGTAAATAGATATGCCAGATCTGCAAAGTGGATTTGCAGGCAAAACTCAAGTTCCAGAACAAGACCAAAGTCTAGAAGTGGATGAACAACCCGAACTCTGTGCCAGAGTTTACAGCCTGTGAAAGTAAAGAAGAAGCAGATGACAACAGGAGAATGATGAAGATGAATTGTTGAAGTTGATCCAGTGAACTGTGACTAAATAGCGTAAAGAAATGGGAAAGCAGAGAAACCCGCACAGTACAAAACAAATCAACATTTCGGCCAGGGCCTCTTTTGGCATGAACTGGACTGCACAAAAATAACAAAAGGGAGAGTACTTCAGCTACCAAGGGGTCAGTAAGTAGAATTAATAAAATAAAGGAAGGCTCGTAAAATAGACATAAAAGTGATAATATATAATAATAGCAAGAATTAAAAAGTAGTAGAAATACAATTTTAAGGATCCATAATTGATGCTGATAAGAGATAGAATAAAATGATAATATAAAATAAGCATAAAAATAATGTGACAGTAGTAAAACTGTTTTGATAAAGGTATGCTGCACATTGATGCCTCTTGGACTTAGAACACCTAGACTGTGTGGATGAAGCAATTTTCCAAAGCAAGGTGCATGGTATGATCACCAGAGCAAGATGAATATGATGAATTGATATATACCACCAGAATTTTGTGGGAGTATCATCACCTATGACATTTGATGATAAAAACAGTATGGAAGTTTTGCTATATGGTAATTTACCTCAAATATATTTGTCTTTTTAATCTTTATTTTTCAGTTGCCTCCCTTCTTGTTGGATCTGTTGGAGAAAGCTCAGGTAAGCTCCCTTGCAAGTAATTTTTGTGTGTTAGCGTCATTTGTCCCCAACAGCGTGCCATGTGTCAGCTATTGTTTATATGTATCAGCTGTATTTGTCCCCAACAGCATGCCATGTGTCAGCTATGTTTATATGTATCAGCTGTATTTGTCCCAAACAGTGTGCCATGTGTCAGCTATTGTTTATATGTATCAGCTGTATTTGTCCCAAACAGCGTGCCATGTGTCAGCTATTGTTTATATGTATCAAAAATATCTAGTTCATTTTGTTTTTCTGTTAGGTTTTCTTTTTTCAGTTTATAGGCTCACTTGTTTAGGTTTTTCTTTCTTCTATTTATAGGCTCACTCACACATACACAGAGAGAGGCAAGATAGGCAGGCAGACAGTTAAGTCAGTATGGGAACTCTTCTTTGGCTACTGAAGAAGGGGACAAATTACTTGGGGGAATACCCTCAGTGCGGAGATATCAATTCTTGATTGATTTATTCAACTTGGATAATCTCAACATAGTAGCAGAATCTGAAAACATGAACATTAACTTTAAAAAAAAAATCAGCAGCAAAAGTTATGACCATTGCTAGAACAGAACAGCCAATCGAGATATGCATTGAAAATAAACAACTCAAGCAAGCAGAAAACTTCAAGTATCTGTAAAGCGTAATATTAACCAGTGGAAGAATGGAAACAGAGATAGAATACAGATGTAATGAAGCATATAAAATCATTGGACAGATGTCACTAATATAGCAAAACAAACAAATAACAGTTGACATCCAGAAAGCACTGTTCAGTACAGTATTTGTACCAACATTGTGTTACCAGTGCCTAACATGGACATTAACAGCCACAAGGAATAAAGAAGAATCTATACAACAGAAGTGGAAGGTAGAAGAGACAGGATAAAAAAATCATGATATCAGGAAACAAGTTGGGATGGAACTAGCACTAAATTAAAAAGACAGATTACCAAATGATTCTTAAATGTGTCAAAACTACCTCCAGATAGTGCAAGCACATAGAGCCCTGTCACTTAGACACAAAAGAATTAGAACTAGAAGGCCACCATGCAATTTATGGATGGATGGAATATCCAAGGTTGTAAATACCAGTATCTACTTAGGACAAACCAAGGCTCACGCCCGATGCCTTTTCAGAACCTTATTTTGAAAGATTGAATATGACTAAAGAAAAAGATGATAATGACGAAGAAGAATAAGACTTAATGCAGACAGTAAAATATGTCTGATTTCATTATGATACAACTAAGAATGTTTATATGTGAGTGTATGTGCATGCATACAGACATTTGAGAGATGGATTAATTAGATGCCTAACACTTTGAATAAAGAGACACCCAGCAAGTAGATGTGTTTGATAAATTAGATTGAGAACTAAGACAATCTGTCTGAACTACATTTTCCTGAAGACAGACAGACATTGTATGTGTTTAGTAGGTTAGATAAGAGCCAAGACAACCTTTCTGAGACTGCCTAATGCGGCACACAGTAGACAGGTGGCCAGATATGTTGAATAGATTAAAAAGTTAACTGAAATGGGCTTTGGAAAAATACACAGTGCTATCAGTGCATGTAGGATCTCAGACAAACAGCACAGATCATAGCAGACTACATGAACATCATAAGTCATAATAGGCAGACTTGGCTCTGGCTCTGAATGGGTAGACAGCACTTAGTGGTCACACTTTGCCACCTTCACCTGGACCTAGACACCTGGACATTCCTGGGTAGAAGGTAATGAACAAGCAGACCAGCTAGCAAGTATTGCATCGCTACAGGTGGGAAGATGCATGGATAGAACAGATAGTCATCACTGCTGTATGGACTAGACCGGAGGATAGTAACGAATCTCTGGCACCAACATGATTGCATGATCTCAAAGTGAAGCACGTCGGTGCCGTAACTGAGGTAAAGATAAGAAACGTTGTAACCGCCTTCTCATGGAAATAGGTCAGGCACCATGGGGTTGCTGCTGTATCAGAGGACTGAGCATATATAAGAATACATAATGTGCAATGAAATCGATTGTGATAACATAACTTAACATTAATGTTTCTGTGTTCAACAGATGAATGTGTTCTACAGTGGCTGTGTTGTAGTTGAGATTCGAGATTACCGTCGCTCGGCAACAGGGTCACATGATACTCAGTATGTTTTATTGCGACCATCGCCACAGGTAAACTTGTTAAAAACAGTTTTCTATTATATTCTTTCAATAATGGGATCCAAGGTTGTTCAGTAGTTTGCCTGCCAACCTCAAGTTTTTTTGGTTCAAACCTGCATCTAGGTAAGTTGGTATAAAATTACCTTGGTTTTGGGTGGATTCAGCCTAAAATGGATACCAAAGTTCTTGGAAGTAAAACTGGCTGATGTGATGCTGCACATAAGCTGGTGAGTGCTAAGACAAATGTCGGTCTAGCACCATATGCCTTATGACATACATGCAAAGGATCATTTACATTTTGTATCTTTAAAAACAAAATAGTTGTAATCACATTTTTGCACCCTTTTTCCTTCCAGTTTTAGATGTCTCACACAGATTGAAGTGATTTGCTTCTTCTTCTTCTTCTTCTACCTTGTATCCCCTAATGGGGCATAGGCCCTAAACCAACTCATGCCAAGTCGTTCTCTTGTTGACTTTTCCATGGTTGGTTCGTTTTTGTGGCTATTGTTTTTACAGGATGAGTTAGCCAAGTTCAAGCTCAACCTTACCTTTAGTCGCCTCTAATGACATGCCTGGTAGCGTGCTGCGTTACTATCCTTTGTTTTCTCAGTAACACACAGGTGGATTTAAGTGCTAAGTTAGATGAACTCCTTCTTCTGCTACTTAACTTTCACTGGCAGAAGGTCTTTGTTGTTCATCCACTTCTAGACTTTGGTGTTGTTCCAGAGCTTGAGTTATACTTGCACATCTGTTTTACAGATCTGGCTTTTTGTGTGAATGCAGACTGTTGGTTCCATGCCGTGCTTGTTGGGGGTGGGGGAGGGGAGGGGGGCAGTGGATCACTACAAAGTGTATTACAGGACAGAAAAAAGGTTCCTTAAAAAAAACTGCCTTTAAAAGGTGCTGGTACTGTACTATTTTGTTGCATACCCTCCCCTCCCAATCCCCCCCCCCCCCCCCACCCCAACAAAACATTAGTTTTAGCACTATAGGCTCAATGTATCAGTGGAGTGAAATAGTTGCTTTACTTTTACCTTTTTCCGTAAAAAAACAAAAATTATTTGCGTGAAAAAGAAGAAATGGTAGTAGATTAACTCCTGTGTTAATAGGACCCGTACAAAAAACAAAGAAAAGCAACCAGCTATATGATTAGAGGCAGCTTAAGGTATGGGTTTGGTATTGGCTACCTTATCCTGTAAAATACTATGGCCATTAAACAAACCATTTGTGAGCTTGAACCCGCAGGGTCGAAGAAAGAAAAGATTAGGAAAAAATCAACACTGGAGAAAGAAATTAGGAAGAATTTGAAAAAGGTGACAATGGCAATGGATAGGATAACTTAGTGTGAGTTGGCTAAGGGCTTATACTCCATTGTGGGTTAAAGGGGATAATAATAATAATAATATTAAGAGTTAATTACAGTCAGCTAGAAAAGACAGGTAGAAAATAGAGGAAGTTGAGGAATTAGAAGATTAGTTACAATCAGTTAGAAAAGATATATGTCGATGGATAGAAATTAGAGGAAGTGGAGGAATTAAAAGATTAGTTACAATCAGTTAGAAAAGATATATGTCGATGGATAGAAATTAGAGGAAGTGGAGGAATTAAAAGATTAGTTACAATCAGTTAGAAAAGATATATGTCGATGGATAGAAATTAGAGGAAGTGGAGGAATTAAAAGATTAGTTACAATCAGTTAGAAAAGATATATGTCGATGGATAGAAATTAGAGGAAGTGGAGGAATTAAAAGATTAGTTACAATCAGTTAGAAAAGATATATGTCGATGGATAGAAATTAGAGGAAGTGGAGGAATTAAAATATTAGTTACAATCAGTTAGAAAAGATATATGTCGATGGATAGAAAATAGAGGAAGTGGAGGAATTAAAAGATTAGTTACAATCAGTTAGAAAAGATATATGTCGATGGATAGAAAATAGAGGAAGTGGAGGAATTAAAAGATTAGTTACAATCAGTTAGAAAAGATATATGTCAATGGATAGAAAATAGAGGAAGTGGAGGAATTAAAAGATTAGTTACAATCAGTTAGAAAAGATATATGTCGATGGATAGAAAATAGAGGAAGTGGAGGAATTAAAAGATTAGTTACAATCAGTTAGAAAAGATATATGTCGATGGATAGAAATTAGAGGAAGTGGAGAAATTAGATTTGTTACAATTAGAAAAGACATAGGTCACTGGACAGAAAATGAAAAAAAAATTAGTGAAAAAAAAAATTAGACGATTAATTACAGTCAGTTAAAAAAAAACATATATAGTTGGACAGATGCAAACAGAAGTAGAAGAAGAATAAGAAGAATAATTATAAAATTAATTTCAATCAGTTAGAAAAGAAACGTATATCACAGAGATGTTATCCAGTATGAATCCTGTTTTTCCACAATTAGTCGCTGCTGCGTGATGTAACAGCCATGAGCTGTGATGGCCACAGCTGGTCGCAGGACGACTTGCTGCACTTGGAGAGCGAGCTGATCCTGGCAACGGAAGAGCCCCTTTGTTTAGATCCCTCGCCTGCTGTTATGTTCATTGAGAATGCTATCCAGTACGAGGAGAAGTTCTTGAATGATCCAGCATTGCAGAGGTAGTAGGTTTGCGTATTTATTGATGTTTGTCATGTATGTCCCGGGTAATTAGTGAGCAGACCTCCCACTGTGTGTTTCGGGCTCCATTGTCGGGTTGAGGGGTGGACGAATAGACCCACTGCCCCGTAACAAGTATATAGTAGAAGTCGACCAGTTAGCGGTTTAACCTTCAAAGTTGGAGTGCATCTGTCTGAGAGGCAAGGAACCAACAGTCTGCATACAAATAAGCCTGTTCTGTAAAACAGATGTACAGGCAAAACTTAACTCTTGAACAAGACTAAAGTCAAGAAGTGGACAAACAGCATTATTTTCATGCAAACTGGGTAGACAAATTGTACATAAAACACAAAAATTCAACTGATGTATGTATAATTATTGTACATTCTGTGAAAAATATGTACTAGTTACACAACTGCATCAGTTTCAGGAACTTTTGGAGCCTGTTAATATAGTTATCTTTCTTTATTTACTATTTTTATTTTACAATTTGTTGTGATCCTTGGTGCGGATGGTCATAAGTTGCATAAGTTGTACGTCGAGGAAAAGGTGTATAAGCATTTTTTTTTATGGCACATGAAATGGACGTGTGGCAGGAGTCTTGCATGATATTCTGTAAAATCAGCACAGAGCCTGCTTGCACCTGAATTGACGTACTGGGTATTTCCTAATGCTCAGCACAGTCCTCTTAACTTTCTGTGACCATAACCACTGCATTGCAGTTACGTCCATTGTATTACAACCTTTCTTGATTTATGACAAAGTTCATGCTGTGATGTTTCATATGTTCTGGATTTAACTATTCTGAAATATTGTTCAGTGTATTACAGCATTCAAAGAAACCCAGTTGTCCCCATTGTTGACATCTTTTGCAGATCTGTGAAGCGCTACACACAGATAGCTTTAAACCGGAAGCGCAAACTGGCGCAGGCTCCAGCTCCGAAAGGCATGCATCTGTTTGACTTCCTGGCCAAGAAGAAAGAAAAATCCAAAGCTCCTGCATCTACAGGTCTCAGCAAAGCCAGGCTGGTATGTACCTTTCTTTATATCTCATCATCTTATTGTGCTCTTATATGTGATGTAGGGCTTATTGTATCATATGGCTTATTGTATCGTAGGGCTCATAGAGTATCACAATTTTTGTGTGGAGTATGTGGCAGAGACTTCCCAAAATCAACAGCACAACTCCCTGGTCCCCAGAGACTGACAGTTGCCTACTTGAGCTCATAATTGATTCCTCCAGTATGTTCTATCTTTTACTGCCTTCATTTAAAAAAACTGTGCGAGATCCATTTCCTTATCTTGAATTATCATCATCACACATTTTTATTGTTAAACATCATGAGATGCATGATGGATAGCAGTGGCTATTATCATTCCCTGCCGATGTAGAAGGTCTTTAATGGTCATCAGTCCATCTTTTTCTAGGTATGGTTGCTTTCACATCATATCTTTTTAGGTTTAGTGCCTCTGTTGGTAGTTTTTTTGGCTGCATTCTAACGAGATGACCAAACCATTTCATCTTCTGTTTATCAGTAAATGTGATGCTTAGTGCTGTTCTAACAGTCTGCCTGATGGCCAGATTTTTCAGTTTGTCTCAGAATGTTAAGTTGGTGGCATTTTCCCAGGTCTCTCTTCACAGATGTTAATTTTACATAGATTAGTTTTTGAAAATATTTAAGTTTAGCATTTGTATGACATTGTTGCGGCATCCGTGGCTTAGGCGTTGCGAGTCTGACTTGTAATCCGACGTACCGCAATCGAAACCCACTGCTGGCTGCGTGGATTTTTGTCATGGTATGGGGCGTCGCAGGTCGACCCAGCCTAAATAAAATGGGTACCATGATGGCCTGCCTAGGGAAGTGAAGACGGCCAGCGTAATGCTGACCACATTACCCACCCAGTGCCGATTGGTCTGTGAAAATATGGGACGCTCTTCCCACATACCCGATGTACCTTAGGTGTGAAAAAGGATCTTTACTTTTACTTTACTATGACAGTGTTGGTATGAATATGCTGTTGTAATCTTTTTTTCTGAGTGGACATACTTTTGAATCAGTGTCTTAATAACAGCATCAGTTATCTTGAATTGTATTGGGTATAAAGTCCTTCAATTGTGTGTGCTGGTTTTTTGGAGATACCTGTTGTTGGATCTGCAGAGTTTGTGCAGCACTCTTGTGGGTGACTGGCAGAAGGATCCTCTTGTTAGTAGGATTGACTAGACGGATGTTCCTTCACACAAAATCCTCACTGACACACCACATACAGCACGGAACAAAATGATGATAACCTACTATATATTTATTAACCAGTCCCTGAGCTGCCTAGCCTGTCTGTCCCAGTATATATTAACTGTGCTAGGGGTAACCTACACACAGACTATTAGCTGTGCTAGGGGTAACCTACACACAGTCTGTTCTGCTTCTTGCCATGTGATCAACACAGCCAACCACAGAATACACCACTTACAGTTTCTACTCTGGAATAATTCACAGCACCGTTCTCACAGAGTGATTACACAAGTGTCCGCTTTAAGTTTTCAACAACACATCACCCATTCAAACAGTTGTCACCTTTTTTTAAGATTTCGCACAATCTATCTTTTTGATCCTATACACCTGGAGCCCAGACGCATGATAACTAACTGTCTCGCCCAGTTCTGCTATGCCCTGTCATGCATTCTATGAGTTTTCACTCGTTCGCTTTATTCCTTCTCTTTTTTCCTTCATTTCTTGCCAACCAGTGCCTTAATTATTATTACTATTGCTCTTTTGTTGTAAGGGTATGCAACCCTTAGCCACCAGACATAAACATAAAGGACACAGGACCTTTGATTAGTCAAAACAGATGTGACCAGTCATTTCATTTACGCTTATGGAGCTACTAAGGAGGAAATCGGAGCACTCATGGCTCTGTCAGAAGTCCTATGATGACAGTCTTCACTAATTTCTTTCTTACTTTTCTTCTGGCAGTATGCATCAATATGCAATATCGACTTGTTTTTTAAAGGCAACATTTATTTTAAAACGCTGCTAGAATAAACACTTTGTGGTTAGTACCAGAACCTCTCCATGTGGGTTCCGGGAAACAAGAAAAAACAAGAATAGACCCACTGCCTGCTCAGCAAATATAATGTAGAAGTTGACTAGCTAGGAACTTCCTTCAGAGCCAGAATACATCTGCCCGAGCAGCAAGGAACAACCAGCTGCAGACAAATAAGCCAGTAAAACGGAGGTACACGAAAAACTCAGGCCCTGGCATAAAGCCAAAGTCCAAATGGATGAACAACCAGAACTTTCCACCGTAGCTGACAGCAGGCGAAGGAAGAAGAAGTAAGAGAACCGTTTCCCAGCACCAATGTTTTTTAATAATGCGGAATTGGTTAATCTCTTCAAGTTTCTAGATGTTGGACAAATCTTGTTGGCCCTCAGATGTTTTGATCAGTGTTTTTCTAGAGATAAAAACAACCTTGCTAATGACTATCGTCATGTGACACAAAGTTCCTGCAGAACTTCCTACAGAAGTTGGTGGTGTTGTTTCAGATTATAGATAACTTCAAGGTGAAGACGCAACCACAGCTGACCATGCCGGAATCCATTGATGTAAGTTTGTTGTATTATTTTGTTGTATTAGTTTGTTGTATTGTTTTATTGTATTTTTCTTCTTCTTCTTTCTTCTTCTATCCCCCAATGTAGCATAGGCCCTTAACCAACTCACGCCAAGTCGTTCAATTCTTCTCTGTTGCATGCAGCTCACCCAACAGTCTTATTCAACGTTTATACGGTGATGATCACTGAGCAGCAGTTGAATGGAAAGGGAAGGACTTTGTCATTTGCTGATGACATTTTGATTTATCGACGAGGGCGTGATAGACAGGAGATCGCCAGCACTATACACAAAGAACTCGATCGAATTGCCGCCTGGTGTGATGGTTCCAATGCCTATGTCAATCCTTCGAAGGCATCAGTGTCATGGTTCTCTTTGAACAATCACATTGTCAAGTCGGACTTACCAGAAGTGAAAATGCGTGCTAGTGTATTGATCAGAACCAATGTTATGGCGTTTCTCGGGGTGAGGTTTGATCGCAGCTTGTCATTCAAGGAACACGTTGACCATGTGATAACAAAGGCACGCAAAGGTCTATCTGCAATGAGGATTATGGCTGCTTCCAATATAGAGCAAAGACTACTAATACTTCTATTCTACGGTCTGGTCCTTTCCCCCATTGAATACGCTCTGGCCATCCTCACTGTCAGTGCTACCCAGATTGAACGACTTGAATAGGTGCAAAATGAAGCCATGCGCATTATTTTGGGATGTACAAGAGACACATCCTGTGGAGCAATGAGATATCTACTTGACTTTCCAACAATGAACCAAAGGATCAGGATGTGGAGGGCTCGGGCATATCTCAAAATATGTGCTGATAAGAAACACCCACTGCATCAAGCGCTTTTTAGTGAAAAGGGCGATAGACTGAAGAGGGGGAAATCGTGGCTAGCTCGGGCAGAAGATGTTATTAGGCAAATATGCAGCCCAACCGACATCATACCTGGTGCAGAATGGATACCTGTGCCTCAGGCATTTATTTGTACATTTTCCTATATTGTCACACTCAGCAGGCGATGTAGAGAAGAGAATCCTGTTGCTGTTAATGCAGATGTCAACGCTCTCATCGGTGAAAATTCAGACGAAGCAGATGCAATAATCTATACAGACGGATCCGTTATACGCCAAAGAAGAAGCGCATGGGCATTTACAGCACGCTCAGCGCGCAGAACAGTCAAAGAAGCCAACTGCGCCTTTTCCATGACAACCAGCAGCATGATGATGGAGGTGATGGCAGTGACGCAAGCGCTTGCCTGGCTTGAAACACAAAAATACACCCGCGTGTGTATATTCAGTGATTCAATGAGTATGATCCGGAGGGTTCAGGCAGGTTCAGTGCGAAGACAATGGCTTGAATCATTACAGAAGTCCACTGTGCGTGGAGTCACCTTTATTTTTGTTCTGGGACACGCAGGTGTCGATGGAAATGAAAGAGCTGACAGGTTGGCTGGATCCGCTATCACTACCGACGGTCAGCCTATGGATCATGCTGATATTATCAATGCCCTCAGAGAAATGGGAAGGATAGAGGACTTTGGTGGCAGTGAATCAACATCACTCGCCAGAATGGCAGACTTGGGAATTAAGATCGGTACAGCAAAAAACGAGACGCACACCAGACACGCCAGAAGACTTGTTAATCAACATAGAACTGGTACTATTAGCAATCGGACGTTGGGGTTCATACTGAGGGGAGGATCTGAGCACCTATGGACATGTCCGGAGTGCAATGAGGATAACCCAACTAACTAACTAACTAACTAATCACCCAACATCCTCCCCATTTTGTAAACTTCACACTCTACCTCCCTTCTCCGTGTTTTTTTTCCGGTCTCCCTTTATTTCTATGCCCTTGTGGGTTCCAGTGCAAAGACATTCTGATTATATTGTTCTTAGGTTTTCTCAGCCTATCCAGTGCCAGCATCTTTTCCTCACCTCTTGGTCCATTGGAACTTGTTTAATTCTCTCCCAAAGCTGAACACTAGAGATTCTATCATACCATTTAATTCCCTCTATTTTTTGCAGGCACCAGTTACTGAATATTTGTGCTTTATTGGTAATTGTTTTAGTTGTTCTCCATATTTCTGCTCCATACAACAGTACTGATTTGACATTAGAATTGAAAATTTACGATTTAGTGTCAGTTTTAATTTCTTTTGACCTTCACAAATTAGTTGTATTAGTTTGTTATATTGTTTTGTTGCATTAGTTTGTTGTATTGTTTTGTTGTATTAGTTTGTTGTTTGTTTTGTTAGGTTAGGACTAGATTTATTTACAGTAAAGACAAGAATTAGTTTCATGCCCTGAAGTATTATGGCATATGATGCTAGTTTCTAGATGTAATGAAAGAATGAAAGAAAGACTGAAAGTGTGATCAATGGAAAAATGAGACTAAAAGAGAAAGAAAGAAAGAGAGTGTGTGAATGGCAGAAAGATTACAAATATGAGAGATACAGAATGTGAGAAAAAACAAAGAGAAAAAAAAAAACAATGCAAGAGAGAGAACATGTGAGACATATCGAAAGTGAAAATGAGAAAGAATGTATGTAAATGAAAGATAGACTAAAAATGTGGGAGGTTTAGAAAATGAGACTAAAAGAGAGAAAGAGAGAGAGAGAGTGAATAAATGAAAGAAGGAATAACATGTGAGATATAATAAAGTGAGAATTGAAGATAAAGAATTAGAAAGAGTGAACTAATGAATTAATGGCAATGTAGGAAACAGCAGGAGAGCCTTCTCAAGATTTCTAGTAAACTGTGGAGATAACAACAGCGAGATAAACAGAAGTGGAGAAAGACTACTAGAAATATGTGCACAACATGATCTTGTGATTACCAATACCTTATGTTTTTTCAGCATAGAGACTCTCATGTGTTCACATGGTATAAATGGAAGGAGCCAGAAATGAAAAAAGCCAAACTGATTATATTCTGATAAAGAAAAGAGATTTCCGTGAGCTCACTGATGCTAGAGCCATACCCAATATCGGCATTGACACAGATCATAAGATGGTGATCGCAGACACACACGTCAAAGTAAAGCCGCACATTAGGAAGAAGAAATGTAATATTGAAATTATAAAATGGCAAGAATGAGACAACACAGAAATGAGACAAACTTATCAAGAAATATTACAACATAAGTATGAAGCACTTCCAGAAAACACAATTGGGGTGAAGGAGGAATGGATTAATTTTAGAGATACTCTCAAGAAATGTGCGGTACTACTAAAAAGAAAGGGAAAACAGGATGTAAGATATCAACATGGTGGATGAAGAAATAAGGGAAATGGTAAAAAACAAAAATAAAGCTTACCATTTCTGGTTAAAACACTGAACAGAAGAAAACTACACAAGGTATAGGCAAGCCAGAAAAGAAGCTAATAAAGTGATAAGAACAGCCAAGAAAGATTCATGGGAGAAGTTTGGAGAAATGTTGGCAGCAGAAGAAAAAGCAGCAATAAAAAAACTACTACAAAAAAGTAAGAGGGATAAGACAAAGCACTGAGGAATTTAATCCAACAGAAATACTAAATGCTGAAAGAGGATGACCTATTCAAGGCCCCAAAATGATTCTAGAGAGATGGAGTAACTATTTTAAAGAACTACTAAATTTCAAGAATAAAGGTGACATTGCAAACAACAATACTATAACAAACACAGCAGAAGAGACGGATGCACTAGAGCCAGCAATTCTATTGACAAAAGTAGAAAATGTAATAAAGATAGCACTAAGTGACTGGTGTTGACAATCTCCCTGTAGAAGCCATCAAAGCAACTGGAGAAATAGGAGCAAAACGGGTCGGGCGAATTTTCCAGACTGCCTGACTAGAATAAGAAACACCAGATGACTGGCAAACAGCAATAATTATACTGTTGTGGAAAATTAAAGGGAGTAAGAAAGAGTGCACTAATTACAGAGGAATGTCACTATTAAGCTACACAGGGAAAATGTCTGCTAAATTAATTGAAAGAAGATTAAGACTATTAGTAGAAGAACAACTTCCAGAAGCCCAGATGGATTTCAGACGTAACAGAAGCTGCACAGAGGCAATGTTTACAGCAAGACAGTTGACAGAAAGAGCAACAGAGTATGATAAGACATGCAAAGTCGCATTTATAGACCAGGAAAAAGCCTTTGACATAGTGGATAGGAATATGTTGTGGAATCGCTTAAGAGATATGGAATCAGCAAACATCTAATTGAAGTGTGTAAGAGCTTATATTCACCAAGTAAAAGTTGCATACGAACAAAAGCAGGTACAACGCAACCTTTTTTAATTAAATTTAGAAGTAAGACAGGGATGTGTGCTATCTCCCCTGCTTTTTGTAACATACATCAACAGTATATGCAAAGAAGCAGAGAGTGAAGAAAAGAGTGATATCTCAGGATTGTTATTTGCAGATGACCAAGTATTAAAAGCTGAAACAAAAGAGAGAGTTTACAGAACCATATAAACAGAGTCAATACTAAGTGTGAGAAATATAACATCAGGATAAACATTGATAAGACAGATGCAATGGTAATAGGTAGTCAAGAAGAATTCTGATTAATTAAAGTAAATAACACATAAATAAAACAAATTTAAATATCTAGGGTCATTTTTCACCTCAGATTGAAAAATGGATAGAGACATCAACATACGATATGTGAAAGCAAATCAGGTTATGGGAAAATTAACACTGCTTCTGACGCATAGAAAGATACCTATTATTATGTCAACCAAAGCAGATTTTTAAAGAGCAATTTTTTGGCCGACATTGTGCTACCAGTGCCAAACATGGATTCTTACTACAAATAATGAGCAGAAGATTGTAACAACAGAGATGAGATGTCTTAGGAGAGCTGCCGGTGTGACAAGAAAAGAATGAAGAAATTAGAAGACTAGGACTGAAAGAAGTCATACAATACATTAAAGATTAACAAATGAGATGGTTTGTCTGGCCACCTGGCCAGAATGCCCTGGTACCAACTGCCACAGAGAACCATGTTGAAGAAATATAATGAACACAGAGCAAGGGGAAGACCGCACAAGAGATGGAGCGACATCATCAGAAGCAACCTTATAGAAATGAACACCAGCTTGTGCAATGCATTGGAAAAAGCACACAAACGATCCTTACATCTCCCCCCAACACCTCACTAAAGTAAACGGTGGAAGAGAAGAAGAAGAAGAATTAATGAAAGAAGGAATTAAAAAGTGAGAGATATAGAAAATGAGAATTGAAGATAAAAAATGAGAGATTGTCTGAAAGAAAGAATGAAAATCTAAAAGTTTAGTAAATGAGAATATACGAGAAAGAATGAGAGAGAGTGAAATAAAAAATGAAAATGTGAGAGGTTGAGAAAGATAAAAACAGAAAAATAAAGAACAAATCTGAAAGTAAAATTAGAAACAAACAAACAATTATGAACACAATTGTTCCCTAAGTATTTTATTGATTTTCTGTTTTATTTCTCAGGTGAAAAAGTTCACAAAACTACCTGAAGTCCCACCATCAGATGGAATGGTAAGCAGCTTATGTAACAAATGTGACAATGTGTTAAAATCTCACAGAATGAAAGAAATAATAAAATATTAACTAACAAGTGTTAGGCAGTGTCAATAACTTTACAATATAAAATTTAACAGGGTTTATTAAAAAAAAAAAAAATAAGATTAGCCCCAATGCCCCCCTAACAAGCATCTCATAAAAGGTAACTAATTTGGGGTGGTTTCTTCAAAGTCAAAGTTTATCTGGCTGAGAGGCAAGGAACCAAAAATCTCGGTACAAATAAGCCAGATCTGTAAAACAGATGTGCACAAAGTACTCAAGTTCTGAAACAAGACCACAATTCAGAAATGGAGGACCCGCCATAACTTTCCACCGGAGTTTACTAAGAAGAGAAGAAGAATGGACATTGATATCTATAGTGTATTAGCCATGAAAAAAAAAACATAGGAAGAATACAGAGAAAAACCTTATTTTTCTATCTCTAAGACAGAAATGTTCTCCTGAATTGTAAAGTTAAAAAAAAATGGGAGTCGTTTTCTACACAGAATGTGTTAAAAATTGTATTTCTTTTATTTCTTTTAAGCTAAAAAAAATAGTTGTAGCTGTATACATGGCGATGTCTTATACACAGAAAAATACAGTAAATGATAAGACAACTTGTGATTGACAGATCTTTGTTGAAGAGCACACCATTGAGAGGGACCCAATGCTGGAGCGGCACATGCTGGCCAAGATCACCATCTATCAGCCGCAGCTGGGGGACCACTACTTTGGGGAGTTCTATCTGGACCATGACTACACACAGGGGAGAACTGGGGAAGAGGGGCGAAGATGCAGGTAGTGTTTGTGTTGCAGCTGCCATTCATTGTGAATATTTTTCTGTTTTTGTTACAGTACTGAGTAGCAGCTGGTCAAATGATTAGAACGCTGGACTTTTAAGCAGGATACCCGGGTTTGAACCCTCAGTAAGGTTGGGGATTTTTTCTGTCAGGGGCAGAAATAAAAATCCTAACATGTAAAAAAAAGACTACATTCCCCACAGTGTGCCTGTCAGGCAGGACTACAAACACCTGAGCACATTCTGCAGACCTGCCCACTCTACCTACAACTTATAAAAGAAACTGGCCTCAAGAGCAAAGTGTGAAGAGCAAGCTATGGGGAACCATGAAGGACATTTTGCCGACATGCGAGTTCATAGGGGCAACCCACCTGATGGTCTGATCTGAGCATACAAAACCGAATGCAAAGAATAAGAAGAAGAAATCCCAACCTGCTGTTTGTGGTGACAGCACCAGCCATGCAGGCCTAACCCTCAGGCTGAAAGACCTCCGCCCCTGCCTACACCGCAAAAGTAGTAAATACAAGCAGTAAAGGCAGCGGCAGTTTACATTAGTCAATGTAGCATCCTGTCCCGAAAGCTGAGGTATTTTAGACGTGTCAGGTGTCGTAGTGGCCTGGAGAGAACAGTAATGGAGGTTACAGTGTCCCGAAAATGAAGCAAAGGCAGACCTCCGCGAAAGTGGCTAGTAGACATTAAAGATGCATTAGCTGTAAAAGCACATCGACCTGGAGACTTGTCTAGAGAAAAAGACTTTTCAGCCATCCACCCGCTGTGAATCATTTTTTTGTTTTTGGTACATCACATAGCTTTTGATAAGGTAGCTAAAGAAGCAGACTTCCAGTAGGATGATATAAATGAGCTGACGATAATGTCCTGTTATACAAAGATAAGGATAACCTCCTAGACCACATATACAGCCTCAACAGACCTGTTGCAAGAAATAAAATATGACACCAGAACAGAATGGGAATTGTGAGCCTAAAAACACTTGGAGACATACTTAGGAGGAGACTGAACACTTGTGGTCATCTCCTATGTGTGATGAAGATGATGTTTAAATGAACAGTGAACAAAAATATGAAAATAGATACAGAACCCCCCTCCTCCTCCCCCCTCCTCCCCCCCCCCTTCCCAGAAATAATGACGGTTACTAGAGCATCAGTTCAACATATCATCTTCACTGAATCAAAGAATGAAAGGATTTGGTCATCTGGTCATATTTAGGCAAAATCAGCTAGAGCATATTACATGAGAGCAAGAGGCAGACCAAGAAAGAGATGGGTTAAGGGAGTAAGTGAGAGACTACAGAAATGGCATTAACACAAGGTACGCAATAAACAAAAGACGAAAACTACATCTAACTCCTCTGCGACACTTTACTGCATAAGCTGTAAGACAAAAGAAGAAGAAATAATTAACATATTTTTCTTTCTTTTCTTTTTCATGTCAGGTTTGTGATCGGATCCAGACAGTGTGTAGATAGGTAAGAAAAGTTGATTAATTTCACTACTTTCAATTCCTCAAAATTGAAGTGCATATGCCTGAGGTGCAGGAAACCAACAATCTGCATATAAATAAGCAGATCTGAGAAAAAAAGGATGTGCTTGCAAAATTCATGTTCTGAAACATGACTTTAGTCCAGAAGTGGACGAATAACCAGTTTAAAGCTGGAGAACGCTAAGAAGAAGGAGACAGTTTCTATTACTTATACCGGAATGGGTAATAACCAGGTTAAACAGAGAGAGAGAGAGAGAGAGAGGGAGGGAGGGGGAGAGAGAGAGAGAGAGAGAGAGAGAGAGAGAGAGAGAGAGAGTGAGAGTGTGAGAGTGTGTGTGTGTGAGTGAGTTAACATGCAGAGAGACACCAACTGGAAAAAGAAGCTTAGAGGGATGATGGAGGGAAGGTGGCTGATATCTGCATCAGTAAACCTTGAGAGCTCTGAGTACTGAAGAAGAGGAAGACTGTTTACATTTATTTATGAAAAATGTATTGTTAATATGTGACAAGAAGTGTTTTTTTATTGTCCTTGACTTTTCTTTGTTTATGTTCTCAGATATTTACAACAGTTCAAGGATTTATTCACAGAAGAGGGAAAACTGCAAGTAAAGATAGCAGTTCTGAAGGCAAATGAGCCGGCTCCGACAATATACTATACTCAGGTACATATAGCTTCTGAGTGATTGTTTTTACACCTTATTCTTAGTTGAAAACCCTGAATGTAAAAACTGCCAAGTAAAGCAACAGTCTGCCAACAAATGCTGCAGTTGGTTTGCAACAACCTCTAAAGATGCCCAGCTACTGTTTACCCCTGAAAATAAGACCTACCCTAAGAAAAAGTACTCAAACGTTCTTCCAGGATGCTTTGAAAATAAGCCCTACCCCAAAAATAAGCTGCAGTTAAGATGGTCAGCTGTAATGAGAGACTTGTTCCCGAATGACCAGTTGGAATACAGACGCAACTGGTACGCACATGATAATGAGCGGATGTGGTTCATAATTCAAGGTGCGTCTCTTGTGGGAGAAATACAGAAATTTTGATCAGAATTTTGGATTTTGAGAGATATGGTGATGTTCCAGAAAAAGAGGATATAGCTGTATTTGAATAAATGTAGAATTGTGTACATGAGTAAATGTAGATTTTTGTATATGAAAAAAAAAAAGACATCCCCTTAAAGTAAGCCCTAGTGCAAGACATCACAGCACTCGGGACACTTCCATAAGCACTCCGTCCCCATCTTCAGTAGCAAGCAAAGAGTTCCAAATCCGATGGCACCTGTAACTGTCTGATTGTATATCCGTCCCGCCTTTCCCTTGAGTGTTGAGCATCGGCCAGATCCCCTGGTGGAAGATAAATTAGAAGAAAAAGTATGAAAAGAAGAAAAAGAAGAAGAAATAGAAAAAGAAGTAGAAGATGACATTTGTGATAAAGATTATGGCATTAATAAAAAGAGGAAGAAGAACAAGAAGAAAGGAAAAGTATAAGAAGTTGATGATAATGATAACGAAGAAGAAGAAGAGACAAATTCCAGATAGATTTGATGATGAAGGTGATGGTAAGGATGAAAAGGTAGTGGCTATGATGAAGAAGAAGAAAGATGAAGAAAGATGAAGAAGGCATAGCGTTTAGTTGAGCCAATTCAAGAACTGACATCAAAGCACTCATGGCATTTCCATAAGTACTCTATCCCCATTTTCAGCAGCCAGTGCAGAATTCCAGTACCGATGTAACCACTAGCAGTCTGATTATGTGTCCATTTTACCTTCCCTCAGAGCATCGAGCATCAGCCAGATCCCTTCGTCACCCCTGCGCTGCATCACTCTCACCAGACTGTGATGATCCATTTGCCCCTGCCGAATTGTACAGGTGCTCTCATAAGGCCTCAACCACATCTGCCTTGTCATGCATCAGTATTCTACCAAGTTGTGCAGAGCCAGCCAAACTGGTTCAAGGTAGGCCACTGTGCTGAGGAACTGGATGGCCATGGGCAAACTGGTCGTGAACGCTATGCGTCTGGCCTGCGTGAGGAAGGGCACCAGGAGAATGGACTCCTGTGGAACATCCTCTGCCTCTTTCCTAGCAGGCAGACAAATTTGGGTGACCAATCATTTCCTGCAGTATTCTTTTTTTTTGCTTTTGGATTTATTGTACATTTAAAGAAGACATAATTGGAGCATTCACAGAGGTCTAATAATTATACATTTGTGTGCTTCAGGCTGTGACTGCTGCGGGAGCAACAGCAACTACAATCACCATCAACAATGCACAGGCCTTGATGAAACAGGTAGCTTCCAATCAACAGCAGGTCAAGGCGGCCGAGATGGGAACAGTGGCCAATTTGGCGGCCAAGAGAAATATTCCAATACAACTCTCCCTGGCAATTAATCCTGCAATGTGCTTGTCCAGCTCTCAAGGTATTTATGTTTTTTTGTGTGTGGTCTTTCTAGGCATTAGTTTCATTGCACTAGGTATCTTTTTAAGTACTTCTTCTTTATCTTCTGTATTCGCCCTTAAAAGGGTGCTTGGCATATTGCAATGTGGTTTACAGCTAGGCTGTGATATCTGCACCCCTAAGCTGAACACAGCTGTTCTTAGCGAACCCTTAATCAGTTGCCTTTTCTTTTACAGCAAGCTTGGGTAAAGTCCGCTGGCCCAAAATTCTACTAAATGACAGCTCTCAGTTAAAACATCTGTAGAGTGGGAAGAATCACTCACTGTACTGCTGAGATTCAACCCCAAAACAAGAGATTTGCTCGCAGCCTAGACGTGCAATATCATTTGCGGGCGGTCACTCGTGGAACAGTCCTCCTGTCTCTGAACATCCCTTGCTGTTCCTCAGTGTGGTCGTCACCATGTTGGGGTACACCAAGACAAACTATCAGTGTGTTGGTTTGACTTTAATGTCGTCTGATGCATATCCTATGGCATAGAAACAAAGTCCCAAATGTCTGACCAAAACAAGTCTTACTAATTGGCAGAACGGCTCACATGCCTGTTATCATTGGCCCCACCAGCCAGAGTGTGGGACCTTCAAGGGGGAGCCATGCTGGATGCATGGTTTTACCATACTGTCTTACTAAGTTTCCAGATGCAACAACGTTACAAGTATATAACATGCCAAAGAAAAATCCTGTTGTATGGCCATCAATGTCCCTGACCTGCGAGCTGCTCCCTGCTGATCTTCGGTGGGTGCAGCCTGTGATGATGGGAAAGCTCAACAAATGGATGTGAAATTAAGCAGACATGTGCAGGACATGACGATTCCTTGGATGAGCTGGAAGTCTCCTTGGATGGTGGGATGAGGTTGTCCCTGGATTCAAACTAGACCTGGCTGGACTTGTTTCTAACTTCTACCGTGTTGTTAGGTGAGTTAGAACAGAATGATGTAAACCACACCCGCTTGAGTCGGGCAAATGTTTATTGCAGTTCCAACAACAATGAGGTCCACTTGGTAGTCTCGTTACCTAGTCGTTGTGAAACTGGCTGACACAAAGTATGGCAGAGAACATCATTCGTCCAGCACACAAGTATTTACCTTTCAGTCCATGCTTCTCATTTTAACGAACATGCATGAAATCATCCCTAACTAGATTTGGCAACCGCTCGTCTCTCTTCATGGATTCGACACTGCAGCCATCCACTTGCTTCCACGATGCACATTCATTTCCAAAGACAGTTATTCTGCTTAGCACATTCTGACTG